TACTACGTGTAAACTAAAATATGTAAATAATAAATAAAAACATAACCGTTCTGATACCTGTGATTACCCTCTGTATAATACAAATGTGACATAAAAGTGTTTTGTTAATAAGAATCTAGCTAGATGGTCTGAGCTTTTTCACTTATTCTATTTTGATCTTATTCAGTATTTGGTTATTAATCCAATATAAAGTCTTTTTTTAGGTATTGGTAAATAGCTTATTAAATAAATATGAATTGAAGAAGGGATATTGACAAATAATATATTAGATGAAATACAAGCAATAATGAAAAATTTTCAAGTATCATTTAACATTGGCTGAATCCCAAGAAAAATAAATTATGAGAAAGCTTTTCAAACTTTACTGCTAATCAATGGAGAAATTTTTTTATAATATATATAACTATTGTTTTATGAAAATATCTCCTGAAAATTGATCACTGAATATTAATTAATTTTGTCAAAATATGTTAGATATTAGTATACTGAATCATAAGACAAGAATTATTAAACAAAGTTTATGAAAGACTAATAATAATGATTAAGTTAATTAAGCAAAAATATGATAAAGAAAAAGTATACTGAACCTTTATCTTTTTTTATATATGTATAAATATATATATAATTATGGACTATTATATACTTTTTGGTGTTTTTCATTTGAACAAATGAATGATTTGTTAAGTAGGTTTTTTATAATTAATATTTGTAAAATAATATTCTAACAAATTTTAAATTTAGAATCATTGTTTAATAGCTATTGAAATATTAAGTCCGAACTAATGCAAAGATTGATAAATAATCTTTGAATTATTAATCTGACTACATCTTATTATAATAATATAAGACTTGAAATCTTAAATAATCGATCAAGTATCAAAATTAATTTCAGAATTGAATCAATTTTCAACAGACGAATTATACCGATTCTTAAACAATACATATAATATTCAAAAGACAGTTATCAATGAATTCAAATAATTTTCTGGCAAACTATTGCATTCTGAAAAATTAAATTTAATTGTATCTTCTGAAATCTTGGATTTATTGATCAAATCTTATAAAGCTTCTTATGAAACCATGAACTTTTAAAGGCCATTCATTGAAGATATTAATAAAAATTCAATAGTTGTTCAAAATAGAGCTAATTAATATAAAAGATGCCAAATTGAAAGTGAAATATTTGATTTTGTTATGTCACCATGAAATATAAAAGGTTCATTTATTTTAGCCTGATTTGTGAATCATGATAAAAGTGTTGATTTATATTTGGAACAGGTTCAATTTTTTTCACTCATTTAGTCAACTTACTGAATAATGTGGCAAAACACAATTTGACTTTTATTTGATAGTTTAAACCTATTAATTTGGCAAATATCAGATTCTATTTTGGATCTGAAAATAATGCAAATGTTGAATTATAGAGTATCAAATTTTATCCGCTTAGATGTGAATATATAATTTCTATTTATAATATTTTTAGTTGATTTATTTCATTTAAATATAAGATTTCAAATAGACAAAACTCTTATGAATATTTAGTTATTATTTCTTTAAATCACAAATACAATATATAAAATTTTATTGAAACATATATAATTCAGCAATGTAATATAATTCAGCAAATATATATATATAGCAAGGTAATATAATTTGGCAAAGTATTATAATTTAGCAATATATATTTGGCAAGATAATATAATTCATCAAAGTAATATAATTTGACAAAGTCAAAATATATACAGTATATATATTAGCACAAAAAATAAATTATCTATTTTACTGTCAAAATATTAACTTTTTCAAAATGAGATTTAAAAAAAGTGTACCATTTATGTGCCAAATAAATTATATGTCGCTTTATAGCCAAAGATAAAAATTATAAAAATTTGATTAGCCGAATTGTATACTTTTTTAATGAATGATTAACAAGTGGCATTATGCCAAATAAATCAATTTTGACTAGTAGCTAATATTTACTATTAATATAATTATTAAAAAAGTTATAAACTAATTTTTTAAATAACAAAGAAATATTTTTATTAGAATATATTTTTTGAAATGAAAAAGAAAGTTTTAAAAAATAATATAATAAAGCTTAAATAATAATTTTTCTTTTTTCTTTATTTTAATATAAAAATAAATTATTAATAAAATATATATTTTATTTTAACAAAACTCAAAATATTTTTATAATATTGAAAATATTAGAGACTATTTTTTTACAATAATAAAAATACCATTGTTTTATTAATATTTGAAATTTATATAAACAATCAATCTGTTTTATTTTTAAGTTTTATTATAATATCAAAAATAAATAAATCTATTTTTAAATAAATTGTCAAATATATTTAGTTTAATTGAATTGTTTAGATTTTTGAATATTAAAAACAATAAAATAAATCAAGTAGTTTATTTTAAAAAATTATTATATTATTTTAAAGTAAAATTAAATTAAATTAATAAGTAAATTTGAATTTTTAATTATAAAAATTATTAGTAAAGAATTAAATATAAAAAATTTTAATAGAAAAAATTAATATAAAAATTTGATTTAAAAAGTATTTTTATAATAAAAAAATATTTTAATGGTTAGATAAATTTGTATATTTATAAAGTTTATAAACATAATTATAGGTAAATTTTTTACAAAATTAAAAGATAAACAAAATAAATCTAATTTTATATACAGTATTTTAAACATTTTGACTATTTTAAATTTTTAATATATTTTATATTGTTACAGGGAAATGACAATCGATGATATGGCTTAGAAATTGAGAAAATGACAATTGCGCATTATAGAGATTGCCAAAATGGGTAATCGACCCTTAACCTCATTATTTCTTTTATTTTCATTATTTCTTTTATTTCTTTTATTTTTTTTTGCCATAAGAAAAAGTAAAAAAATGACATAAGGAAATATAGTAGAAAAAAAGGAGCAAAAAAATTAGTCAATAAAAGAGGGTTAAAATTGACCTACTTATTGCACTGTTCTGATCAATAAAATTCTCCAAATCATACAAACTTGCCAAATATATGTCTCTTTCTGCCTTTAATCCTCCCTGTTATAACAGATACTTCTGTCGAAGTGTTGTGAAGTCTAGGATTTCGCTGTTACTACTGATAGACCCCTGACCTGCGACAGAATTGGTAATGAATCATGATATATGACATTCATTTTCCTCCCCCGAATTTTTTCACTGAACGAAATTTCAAAAAGAAGAAGAAGAGAAAACATAAGTAATCAAAAAGGAGTAAATGAGATGGATGCAGAACAATTGGAACAGCTCCTGATGAACCTTGCCCAGTCATTTGAAACTGCAACTATTAACATCTTTAATGGAAACTGAGGAAGAATACTGAAGATGAACCATGTACTAATCAAATACTTCACCGGAAGAAAAGATGAAGATCCTGTTAAATGAATGGAAGAATTTAAATGAGCTGCAATAACTAACAATTGGAAAATGGACGAAAACTTTGAATTGCACCTGGGTATTTAACTAATCTAGCTGCCGATTGGTATCACGAGAACAAAGAAGATATTGAACAATGGCGTAACGATAATGATATGCAACATAGTTTTTATCACATAATGATCAGTTTTTTTTCCACACCTGAAAAAAGACATAGATGGTAACAAGAATTATATGAACTGGTCCAACAAGATGACGAACAAGTTGATACCTATACTACCAAGTTTAAGCGACTCCTATTTCAAGTAGACCCTGAAAAACGAATTCCTGGTGACTATATAGTAAGCATGTTCCTAAAAGGCCTCAAGAATAATACTGCCACCTTTATCACAGTTATTGCTCCAACAACATTAACGAAAGCAATTACAGCTGCCCGAAGAGTTGAAGCAGGAAACTATTATAAACAACAAAAATACAAGGCAATAGAAAGTTATATAGACCAAATACGTAAAGAAATGAAAGGTTTGACAAAGCAAGTACAAGAAATATCTCTGAATTATGCCGCACTAGCCACTTGAAACGTATCTAGGAGAAATACTCTCCAGATCAGAGGAATGCATCAAGGATTGTAAGATGTTACCATTGTGGAAGAGAAGAGCACTACTCTCGTGAATGCCCCAAAAATGTATGACCAGTACCAGTAGCACCTACAGCCAAGAATTCTATACCAAATGTTTACTATTGTGAATGGCAATCAGAAGAAGAGAATGACATGAATGCTTACATTGCGGGAGGCACTATACCCGCTAAAAGAGGAAGACCTAAGTGCAAGCTGGAGAGTAGCTTAGGTAGATTAAATCATATACCCAAGATTAGAAGAGCTGCTAATCCGGTAAAACTGATAGAGATGAATATTCAACCTATAGAAGAGAAGTTACCGGTGAAGAAAGTAAGAAGGAAAAGAAAGCCATCAGTAATTGATTCCCTAGACCCTTATGATGTAGCAGACAATATCTTAGCTTTACCTGCCATGCAACAATAGGACAAATGTTATAATATCTGAACCAGCGAATAAACTTAGCAAAGCTCTTATGACGACATGCAGCTATGCCTGAAACTCATTACATATGACCCACTAGTATCTGCAGAACCACTGTCATAAAATGTTATGCAAAGATCGAAAGAAAACTGATTATAGCTGTATTAGATTCAGGTGCCACTATAAGTATTATTACAAAAAAACTTTTAGACCATCTGCAAATATGAATTGAAAAGAAATCTACAACTACCATCATTACAGCCAATAGAACTAGAGAAAGAACTCTAGGAAAGATTAGAAATGTCAATGTTACAGTTAAAAAGATCACCATTCCAATGATCTTCCAAGTTATCGAATTCAAAGACAAAACCCTTTTGTTGGGAACAAATTGGTTCTAGAAGACAAATGCAAGGATTCATTTCGATGAACAGAAACTGTATCTTAAGTATCAAGACCAATCCACAGAAATCCCGATTTCACACAATGACATGACATTCTTGCAAACTCCGGAAGAGATGGATAAAAGTAATGAAGATCCCAATACATGCGATGAATTTGAGTACGAAAGTGAAGAATTAGAAAAAAAGGAAGAGTACTATATGGAAGAATGGTCAGATGGAGAACTGTATGAGAACCCATGGGAAAACATGCAGAGTCCAGCAATATATATGACAACCCTTGAGAAGATACCTACCTATGATGAAGACCATAACAAATGTTGAAATGACAAAGGAACCCCGAAGCAGAACATTGACATCTGCCTAATAAGAGAAGAACAGGAAGAAGCCACGAAATTCTTTGAAAAAGAGAAGAATCTTTTTACAAAAAATATCACAGAGTTAACTCAAACTGATGTCATTCACTATGTTATCAATACAGGGGATGCGAAACCGATTAAGCAAGCCTCCTATCAAATGGCACCAGATGAACATGATTATGTTCGAGAAGAATTAAAGAAAATAAAGGAACAAGGCCTAATACAAGAATCCATTAGCCCTTGATCCTCCCCTATAGTTATAGTATCAAAAAAGAATGGAGCAAAGCAACTATACGTCGATTACAGGAAATTAAATGTAGTAACAAAGAAGGACACATACACATTATCATGAATTGATGACCTACTAGAAACATTGGAACAAGCTAGCTGGTTCTCTAATCTAGATCTCGCCAGTGGATATTGGCAAGTACGAGTACATGAAAATGACTGTGAGAAGATTACATTTGTAACAAAATTTGGCATCTATGAGTTTAAGGTTATGCCATTTGGATTATGAAATGCACTAGCCATTTTCCAATAACTTATGAACACAGTTTTACATAAGTGTATAGAAAGATTTGTTGCCATATATTTAGATGACATTATTGTCTATTCACATACTTACGAAGAACACCTGGAGCATTTATCACGAGTTTTCAAAGAACTAAAAAAAGCCTCACTGAAACTGAACTTTGAAAAGTGTGATTTCTTCTTACCGAATGTGGGATTTCTAGGCCACATCATAGGAAGGGATGGCATCTAACCGAATTTAGAGAACATAGAGAAAGTAAAGAATTTCCTGACCCCCCAAAATTTAAGACAGTTAAGAGAATTTATAGGACTTGCCTCGTATTATTGGAGGTTTATAAAAAATTTCTCTAGCATTGTGAAACCTCTACACTGACTATTAGAAAAGAACGTACTGTACAAATGAGGCTTTCAAAATTTTGAAAAGACACCTGATTTTGGCACCAATCCTTAGATACTCTGACTTTGATTGAACATTCTAATTATATACGGATGCATCAGGAACAGGATTGTGCACTATATTGTCACAAATTGATAACAAAAAAAATGAATACGTAGTTGTATACATGAGCTGAAGATTGACTAGACCTGAGCGAAACTATGCAGCAACAGAATTAGAATGCTTAATGGTAATTTGGGGAGTTGAATATTTCCATCATTACCTTGGCATAAAACCCTTTATAGTGGTCACAGATCAATCTGCGCTGAAATGGCTCAAAACATCTAAACTAAAGGGACAGAGAGCACAATAGATTCTGTGACTCCAACTATATAACTATATGATTATACATCGCACTGGTAAAAAACATACCAATGTGGATGCATTATTTCAAGCAAAGAAAGGAAGTGAGAAATGTGGTGACAACAACGTAATTAAAAGTATTATGAAGAAAGAAGTAACAACCACGCCAGGTCCTATTGCCCACTAATCGATTCAAAAAAAAAAAAAAAAAAGAAAAATCTGAGGAACAGAATCCAGTCCAGATACTGATGTCCTGACATGAGAAAAAAAAAACCATGGAATCTGATAACTATTGACAATTGCTTAATTACCTACAGAAACAACAACTACTCGCAAATGCCACACCACAACTGATACGACGATTACAGATGCAAAGTAATTTTTTTGTACAAAAGAACAAATTATTATACAAGAAGAACAAACACCAACCAGGTCGACTATTACGAGTACTACAACGACATTGTTAAAGTAAAAAATAAACTATATAAATAAGAAGAAAAATAAAAGTAAAATGAAGTAGAATATAAAAAGTAATA